ATCATCACTTACTTTAAATAGGTGAAAAAATGGTTAAACCCTTTTTTTACCATCCCTAATCACTATCACATGAGCACATCCAATCAAATTTCGAGATCAGGTGCAACATAAAAAATCACCTACATGCGTGCATACAATAAATACTTTATTAAAGTCGATATTTGAGTGACGCCGAGAGAAAACCCATAAATCTTAGTAGATAAGATTTCGGGTTTTTTATTGGCGGCACTTATTTTAGGAAATATTGATTTCAATTACGGTTCTGCAAGTGCCGGGCACGTACTATTAAAAATGGTGCCTGTGCCTGTGCCTGACACTTGCAGAACCCCAATTTCAATATCTATTTACGTATCTCTATAAGGAGTGATTGTGAGTTTAGATTTTTTTGACTATACGCGTCCTCAAGCATGGAGAATCTGGTCTATCTGATCGAGTCGACCAATCAGATTGTTTGTTGGGCCCATTAAGATAGATATTCGAAAACGCCCTATGTCTATATTTGAAACTTTTACCAAGCAGATTAATTTATCACTAATCGTCAAGTTGTACGTAACAAGAGTTTGATTTCTCTCAATTCATACATGAAATAATGCATTTAGGAACTTCACGTCTTGATTTATATTTAGGTTTTAGGGTTACTAAACAAACTTTTTTTATTTTTATTACACAACAGATTCCATAATATTTATATATACATTAAAGAATCAAAAAAGAATTGAATATTTTCTTAACAAAAATGAGCGAAAAGAGTAAACTTGAAAAGAATAAACGTGAAGATAGTCATGAAGATGATTCTGAAGCTGATTTTAAACGTCAAAAAATTAAATATTTCATTATAAAATTAAATGAAGAATATAAATTATATCGAAGAAACATTAGATATCGGCAAAATTTGTGTGCTGCACAGATTTTTATATCAATGATGGCTATTTTTCTTGGTAAATTATTCTCATTGGCTTCAAAATCCAATATAATGGAGAAAGTTGGAGCTCAATTATCAACAACATTTGGTGGAATTGGTGTGCTAGTAACTATTATTACGGCGTATATTAACAATACTGCACAGAAATATCTTGACGAAAGCAGTTTAACTGAAATCGATAAGGAAAAGTTCAAACTTATGTACCTACATATTCATGATAACATTCTTGACCGGTTCAGTGATGAATTTGGTCCTAAGAATTATTTTTATAAAAAAACCTCTACGTTTAATATATTTACAGCGCTTGATTTTTATATAATTAGATTAAACCGAAATAATGATATTTTATTAAGGGAAAGAATTATTGATATGTTATTTTCTGGTTTATTTTTTTTATTCATTCTTGCTATATCAATTTATTTATCATTGATTTATCAAGATCCTGATCAAACTTATGTAAGCAAGGACGTGGAACATGCGTTAAGACATTCTTTGCTGTATTTAGGAGAAATTTGGTTTGGCTTAATTATTCTTTCCAAGTCATTTGATTTTTTTGAATGTTTAGAATTTAGATTTTATTCTTTAAAAAATGATTTACAACATGAACTTGTACATGATGAACATGATTGTAAACTTCCACATTCCAAAAAAAGTCCACCACTTTACTTTAATTTCTTAGAAAAATTGTTTATAATATTTAAATTTATTATTTATTTTTTTAATTCTTTTTTAATTTTTTATTATTTAATTATAGGCAGGGTTAAATTCGAAAGATGGTTCTTAATTCATTTAAAATTATTTCCACGCTGGGCTAATAATATTGAATTAATTTTAAATGGAATTGAACCTATTATTATTAATGATGATGATTA